GGTTTGATATGGAATAATGAAGGATACATGCTTTCGAGGAAATATAGCAACTTGTTATTGTATTCAAATAATCTTTATTTTAATTTTTCTGTAGCCTCTTACTCAACTCAAGTCGAACTGAATTTAACCTTGAAAAGTAAATCAAGTTCAGCTTTTTTGTCAAATAAAGGTGAAATGCACATACCTCCCAAATAAAGATTTAATAATCGATTAAAGGTATCTTTTCGAAATATGACAACTAGTCATTTAAACCCATTTTACGAAATTAAATACGATTGAAGGTTTGAAGTAATGCAAAAAAGGTTGTACATGACCGACGGATAAATATTTTGTAAATTATTTTTGAAAATAATATCAGATTTAACTGAACTATTTTGAAAGGTTTCTAGAAATAAAATCAACAAAGAAAATCTACTAAACCTATTATTAAGGTAAATCTGTAATGTATGAATCTAGGAAAAATCAAATGTTGAGCATATCTAACTTAGGTTATGACTATAGACCATGCTAACGACGTACGGTTGTATATGCTATAAAATATCCCTTTATAAATTCGTACACCTGAAGTGATTTTTACTTTTAAATTAAAGCCAAAGATCTATAAGTTCTTTAAAAAGTTAATAGCTGTATAGCTTCAAAACATTTAACAGAAAAGCCAAATCAATCTGAAATCAACTTTACAAGATGGACATAGATTAACTTATCATATAACGATCCAATATAGCCGTTGTTGCCTAATAACTGTGGGTAGTTTTTCGAATATTGAAGCGTTACATTGAAAGTTTAAGAAATAATTAAATGATCATATCCAAAACCGTCCAGCGTTAATTCAATTAATGATCTTTTATTTAACCCACCTATTGTTCTGATATGTTAATACTTATATGCTCGAAGATTTGTCAGATATGAAAACAATTCCAATTTCTATAAACACCTGCGATGTGTACTTAAGAAATTTGAAATGTGTGAGACATTTAAATAACTTGATTGTATTGAAATAAAGACATTTACCCTACTTTTAGTGTGCAAGTTTGATCACGTAACATACAGTCAAAATTTGAATTGATATCTATCAAATTACTATTTATTGGTGGTAACAAAATTCTTATGTGTTTATACTGCTGCTTAGGGATACTTTTTATATATGCAGAAACGAATAAATCAGTACTTTATATCCATTCAAGGAATTCATATGAAAATTTCCATAAATTTAGAAGAGCTAGCAAAAGCAATTAGTTTCTCTGATATTTGGTTATTAATAATAACCAATAAGTTTTCTATTAATTTTATATATTTAAGATACCAAAATGTATATCTTTATAATGCGTTATATGTTTGAATGTCTAAATATTCTTTAAGTCTTAACTTGTTGGCATTTTATCCTATATGACATAGAATAACTGGGAAATATCATGCATATTCAGGATAATACATTGAATTGATATTCTTGGAAGTCTTGTCACCCAATATGAAGCAATGCATATTTGGGCAGCATTTGAAAAAGGGGGTATGGTATGAACATTAAAAGATTGATGTAAATATTCCTTCTTTAATTATGGTAAGATTGATTCTACAATTATTTCATATGAAATTGCATTATCACTGACAAACAATCATTTTATTTAAATAAGTGATAGAAGCTTACAGGTAATAAATAGTTGTTGATCTATTACTTATGGATTATAAATATACACCTTTAAATCAAATGTCAGATATAACATTTAACAAAAACGGTAGACATTTTGTGTATAAACCAATACATGCATGCGAATCTCTAAATGTGAACATAAAATAGGGAAATTTCATTTTTCTTGAAAATGTTAGTTTTTTTACGTCAAATAAAATATACGTACAAAGAAAATGTACAAAATATACCCTTGTCTTACCTTGATAAATACCGGAAGTTAAATGTACTGTTAAAGTTGTATTAATAGCTTTTATTTAAAGCCAATATCAGCGATTTGTTTGTAATGAACATTATAGAATGATTACCAAGTTTTCTAATAGAATTAACTTATTGTAAATTTAAATGACCTATAACAGTTCTTAAGTGTTTAACTATCATTGATTGAAAACTGATAGGCGTGTGAATGAGTGTACATATGTCACCTCTGATAGTGTGAGTTCGTTTATTATTTCCTAGATTCTTTCTATAAAGTCAGAATTGATGTAGGCTTATCCCTTCGATTCCTTTTGGTTATATTCAATTTGCTTCTCAGATTTGTATACATGTACATCCCTGACTTTCATTCTAATTTTAGCATTCCTATCGAAAGTAAAATTCAGTAAAGCGCTTTACAGGAACCACTTTGTTTTCTTAATTTGATTCCATTCATGCCTGAAAAATAAATATAAATATACGACCACAACAAAGATATGAATTTCGTATGCTATCAAATCATACTGAATTGTTAACTCAAATAGTATTAGTCATTGGCTAGGTCTAATGATGATATACTGCTAAGTTTGCATATAGTTTTTGTAAATTATATATAAAACACTCTCCCAAACATCAACATGACGGAATAAAATTTACATATTACATTTTGAATGAACGCAGGGGTGATATATATCTTAACTATGTTTTCATAACGTCAGTAGAGATCCATTGATGACATTGAATGTTACTCTAAATGTACGTCCCTATGACAGCTATTTGAACTTTAGAAGACATATTTACTACGATAAGTCAAGTTCATACTCTCCTCCTAAGCAGAGCATAAATAAAATGTTAATAAGAATGTTGGACAATATTACATTTAACGGCGGTCATCCGTTTTTAATAAAATTTCCAATTTGAGGCCAATGATGTGAAATCAAAATTCTTTACGGATAACAATGAATAACGGGTTTTGACAACATCAATATAATGCTTAGTAAGCGAAAGAACTATACGTAAAAGATAATTTTGAGAACAAACAAAAAAATTAAATCGAAACACCTATCAAAAAGAAGTTGGAGCAAATTCACAATGCTTGAAAGCTTTTACGTGAAGAAAGAAAGCAACAGTACTATACCTATGTTCAAATTTTATAAATCCATTAAAAAGACGTATCAAGGTAACGAACAAAAACTAATCAGGTAATCGCATGAATTCCAAACGACAAGAGACCGGCTTCATCGAAATTGGTTGATTGCGGGCAAATATTTCTACTGTAATAAAGATATCATATTTATTATGTGTTTTAGGTTAATGTAATTGCGTGTCTCAAAGTAATGCGTTAGTATTTGCACTTTAAAAAGGCCATTGCAAATGTATGATATTGCTGTAACGATGCAATTTTACCAGAGATTTTAATGCATTGACGTTTTCGATTGTATTCATATATTTTTGAATAGTGGGTGCATTTTGTTTATGATAACTTTTCCTCATTCGACGCATTTAAGTAAGCGTTCGTCAATAAAATATATAGTTTTGAATTTCACATGTTGGGTTCCTTTTTAGTTACTTTACTATTTTTTTACGTCAGTACAGTTATACTACATTAACGCAAGGCGTGATTTGCTTTATGTTTAGGTTTTAGGAGGATCGCATTCCGTATTTATTGAATTATTACAGAAAATTTGTACAAATGCAAATTGTAATAGTTTTCATTTCAGAATGAACACTTCCGGCGATGATGATACTCTATAAATGACGTAACTTTCAAGTGTAAAATATAAATTTTAAAGCGCTGATTTTACGTTATTATCCAAAAGAAACGGGACGCAGAAGAAAAGTTCGTTATATTTTAATATTATGAGGTATTTTTTTTACTATAAATGTGGGGAAACAATGTAATGAATAATATCAGTTTAATTTAATTTTACATCTAAAAAGTATCAATTAGAGTTCGTTTAGAATTGAATCCCAATGGTTTTATTAAGAGTATTGTATTTAGCTATTTAGCTCTTAGTCATGTTCATACTTAACAATTATCAGATATACAGCAGTTAAGGTAGATCATAAGTATATACTTTTTGAGATAGAATTTTCTTATACTTTGCCAAAAGGGAGATTTTACTATGCTTTTTTCAAAAATATAATAAAAAGTATGGGTCACCGTGCTATTTTCCAAGCCATGAGTCGTTGAAAATTGCCTAAATTTGGTTAGATTGTTCATGAAAAAACACATTTGTGTGCATAAAAAAAATTTTATGAGATAGAATTTTTAAATAAATTGTAAGAAGATAGGTTTTATAATATGTTTTAAGAAAATAAAAAGAAAAAATGGTGTCACCGAACTTGTTTTCTTGCTACAAGTAAAAATAAAAAAAATCCCTATCAGTCCAGTATATATTTTTTACTAAAAGAGTTATCTTCCCTTAAATGGCTTATTTGAAAAAAAACGATTCTAAAAACACAAAATTTGATATTTGTTTGAATATTTTGAATAATACAATAAATCACCAAGTTGTCTGTTAATAAATAAACAATCTAACCATTAAATTGCAAATCTATCTCCAAATTTGCAGATTTGGGCAAATAACTAGACCATTTTTGTACTGAGATTGTACAATCCAAGATGGCGGTATACCATGAATCTACCTTAAAGCATAAGATATGCCTCAAAACTTGGTCAATCGGTCCTACAGTGTAAGGGAGAAAATAAAGTGTGCCTCTAAATTCATAGAATTTTATGATCCGTCACAAGTACCTGTAGTTGTGAACATGAAAATGGACAGGCAACACTCAATTAAGATGGTATCAAAAAAGCTCTGAAATCTAATGTTCACCAATATAAGGACCTTTGATTAAGGATATTTGTGAAAGTTGAATATTCTAAGTCCATATTTCTCATAATCATACAATTTGCCTGAATATTTAGACCACCTCATGTTATTTATGTAAAACCCGCCACAGTTATCGATATTATTAATTGTTCAAAAGGATGTCCGAATGAATACAATTCTCATCAATTGTATGGAATAATGAATATTTCCCGTTAACACAATTATGATGCGTTGTTTTTTCATAAAAACGAAATTATTTCCTCATAAACAAGTGGGAGTTTGTAAGCCAAAAAATATGACGGTTCCATTGCTGATATACTTATTTTCTTTCTGGTGGTGTCAAGCTATTGCAACTGAAGAAGGAAGATGCTACAAAGATTTACGGTAAAACGATTAATGTATTTTGAAAATTGATAGAACAATTTTTATTTGCATTTAGTTGCCATATAAAGTAATATCGAGTTTAAAGAACATTACGAACAGTTATATATTTATCTAATTTAAATAACACTCTTTTGTCATCATTTTCCGTAAAATAAAATAATTATGACCCCCGTGTGCAATAACACGGTATTTTTATACAAGTATTCCTCTTGGTAATATTTTCTTAAACAAATACGATTTTAATGTTTTAATTTAGATATGTTTGCATATTTTTCATATTGCATGACATGATAATCTGGAGTTTCAATGTATATATCGCTACTTGTGTTTTTTTAATTTAATAGTTATGTTGCCGTAGAAGCATTGTCTTGACACGAATCACAACATTACATGTTACTTGTTATCCTGCAATCAACCATTCTACTATATGAATGCAGGTGTACATATAACATTAAGCGATAAAAGTATAGGATACGTTTATAGGCTCCTGGTATCATGTTTCTGTTGTGAGCGTTAGGTTATATTCAAATTACTTTTTACCTCACAGTTCATTTGTGGGGCTTCATCGTATTCCGCTTATAAGTCACGTTGATTACTTTCAAAGGCAAATTCAACAGAAGGGAGGTAAACACAAACTAAAAGTTTAAGCGTAAATTTTACAATGCAGGATATAAAGAATATTCGTAAATATGAAATGTATTTGTGTTCGCGACCAAACAGGAAAACAATTTGGCGAGCTTCTCTTATTTTTCCGTTTCTAAATCTCGTTAGCCAATTTCGTATCTTCTAACAACATACGAATATTGTATTTGTCGGCGTAAAAACGACATGGGATCTGTCAAATGTGATTGGTATTGTTGATTATCGTTTGATACCCTCGGATATCGCAGTTACGAATTTACCGCCGACACTTCTTTTGCGTTCTTTTATAGCAATGAAAATCAGCTAAATTTTATTTTTAAACAAGACGTTTGTTTATCAATTTTAAGAGCGTCACTGTACCTAAAAATTTAAGAACTAAATTGATTGATGCAAAAACATCACAAACGATACTAAAACTATGAGTTACACATTTTTTTCAAGTGGTTTGTTACAATATGTAATATGTCAAGGGTTTTGTTTTTACCAGTAATAACAATCGGTCAGAACGGATGTAGACAATTGTGTATATACAATTATATTTTTTTAGCATTCGAAATTAAATGAACATAGTATTTAAAAGTAATATACGTTATGAACGTTAAATATTAAATACAATTTCAGTAACGGTTAATGCAAAACATCTTAATTTCTATTTCAAATATTACATTCAAAAAAGTTGCTTAAGAAAAAGTTATCTTGTAACATAGAACACTTACTAGCTACAAATGTAGGTTTTGAAAAACAAATTGACAAATCTTTAAGTTGATTGATTGATTTTTGGTGTTTTAACGCCACTTTTAAGCACCACTTTTGGGCTATTTCGGGGCGGCCAGTTTTTATTGGTGGAGGAAGCCGGAGTGCCCGGAGAAAACCACAGACCTTCTATAGGAAAACTGACAACCTTAGTCAATTAGGATTGGAGTCGAGTGCACCCGCACGAGCGGGGTTCGAACTCACAACCTCAGTGTTGACTGGCTAGTGATTACAGTAGTAACTACTAAGACCACTCGGCCACCGAGGCCCCAATCTTTAAGTTTGAAAGCAAACAGTGATCCCACTTTAAATTATGCACATACATATTCTCAACAACAATATCATTAACTTTTTGTTAATCGTCCGGTCTTTTTACGTGATTGTAAACAGATGGTTATAGGTGTCACAAAATTACTTGCTAAAACTTAAATTACACTGACTTTCAAGGTAACTAACATGTCATTTCTATGGAACGCCGTATGAAGTTGTTACATTTGATTTTGAATTTCCCTCTGATTTAATAATTGCATAGATCAAAGAGATATATGGCGTTAGGAAAATTGCAGTTGGTGTTGCCACTGACGTTTTACAGCTTTGATTCGAACCTTGTTAAGACAACAATACAAATTGGCTAATGCAGATATGAATGATTTATCTTGGTTGGACTAAACTAAGTTATGAGTGTATATTAATGTGTATATATTTTAATATTCAACTTAGAAATGGAAAGACAAAATGGCATTGTTGTGATAATCGAGAAGAGAAAGATGGACGATGCACAGGTATGATTCCCGATTCAAGAGTTTGGTTGTTTTAGCTTATAAAGAAACGACTACATTAGAAACTTGGTTAAAATTGATCAGAAGTCTCTTTGAAATCTTTTTTTAAGGATTTCACATATTCAGAGATTAACGAAAAAAGTGTGCATGTCATTTAATTTTATGTTTCACAGGTATTATCATATCTATTTACCCAGCCAGTTCCACCTTTTTTACCAACATTTATGATATAACGGTTGACATGCATTTCACAGGATGATTGAATTCGTGGAAGTTTTGTTCCATTTGAACATGTTGAATTTGAATTAATATTATATTTTAACTGGCAAACTGTTTAGTGAAATTTGCAAAAACATGTTTTCACGATTGTCTAAGTCAATCTGATTTCGTTTGCAATAATTAAAACTGTTGGTAAACAATCATATTTTTTTCAGAATTATGTAATTTGTAAAAGACATTTCTATGCCCCGCCGTAGTGGAGGGGGCATTAATTGTTACCCTTGTCCGTCCCGTCCATCCCGAAAATATGGGTTTCCGTTCTCTAACTTTAGTTTGCCTCAACCAAATATTATAAAACTTATGCACAATGCTTATTCCAACAAAACACAGATCAAGTTAGAAATAAGGTGGCGTCACTTTACCGTTCATGAGTTTTGCCCCTTTATAAACATACAAATTGCTGAAATTTTCGTTTCCGTTATCTAACTTTAGTTTGCCTCAACCAAATGTTATGAAACTTATACACAATGCTTATTACCACAACACACAGATTCAGTTTGAAATTAGGTGGCTTCACTTCTACCGTTCATGAGTTATGCTCCTTTATGAATGGAAAAATTGCTAAATATTTCGTTTCCGTTCTCTAACTTTAGCTTGTCTCAACCAAATGTTATGAAACTTATACACAATGCTTATAATCACAAAAAGGTCTTAACTACTTGAATCCTGCATCTATTTGTGGAAGTTGACTCATGCTTATTAACAAGCAGGGGCATCTGTGGCCGATAGACACGTTCTCCTATTATCTTATCTAATTTGATTTGCATAAATAATGTTATTTAATATTCCTTTTTTCATTACCTGGTATTCAATTTGTCTTTTTTTATCCGTAAAAGCGCTATTGACGTACAATAATCATAAGAGACGCTGTGTTAATTTCGTTTTGACGTGTGTATTTAATACGGAGTGAGGACTCATTATTTTAAGGCTACACGAAAAGACGCGACGTAAAAAATGGGGGTGATCTCATGTGCTCGATATGAATAGCAAAATATCATTTTATGACAACAATAACTGTAACGTTTTGCACTTTAAGTGAGCAGCACGACGAGTGCAACATGTGGATCAGGATTTCTTTATACTTCTGGAGCATATGAGATCACGCCCGGCTTTTGATGGGTTCGTGTTGATCAGTCTTTAGTTTTAGTTGTTGTGTTTTGTGTATTGTTGTTTGTCTTTCCGTCATGTTTAGTCTTTTGCCATGGCATTATCAGTTTGCTTACAACTTATGAGTTTGAATGTCCCTTTGGTATCACTCGCCTCTCCTTTAAGGGGTTCCAAATTCTAACAACATATCATAGATAATAAAACATTTGACAAATCAAACCTATATTAACAAATATGTCAAAACACCACATCCAGGTTATTTTCTCGACTTTTGGTCACATTCAGCAATAATTGTCAGTAAAATATCTTCAAAAGTAAAACGAACTTTGAATATTTATCTTATGCACATGTAACTTTCTCTCAGCCCCAAAATATTCTTTCAATCGAACATATGCATCGTATATTAGTTGGGAAATATATATGCACATTTTATTTTTAAATGCAAAAAAAAATCACTGTAATGACAAACAGGATCGTCAGATCATTTAAAGCTATGTTTGCTAAGATTCTGACAAGGAGATTTTCCTAGTATATTATTTATTTGCATATTGTGTATACATTATTCTTGATCTTTAAAAAACAAACCCAAAGGACAAATATGTTATATAATTTTTTATACACTATTAGAGGTTTAAGGTTGATAGTTTGTCCCTATCTCTCCTTCTTTCTTCACAATTAAAGAATAACATCTTTTATCTATTTCAAATTGACAAATTCTCTTAGGCTTTATACTCTTTCAAACAAAGAAATAAACATTCTGTCACTCATTTACTAGCAAAAATGAAAATCGTGAAAAAGGTATCTAAAAATATTAACGTGAAATCATCATATTAAAACGTCTTAACATTTTGTCGTGTAGAGAGACTTTTTATACCTGACTATACAATATGAGATTTTTGTAATTGTTGATAGCCGTACGATGGCCTATTGCTGTCTAAAGCCACGTCATTTGGATAGTTGTCTCATTGACACATACCGCATCTTCTTATTCTATATTCATAAACTTCATTTATGGCATTTTTTTCTCACGTTTACGAGTAAAACTTATTTTCTACCACAGTATCGAGTGTGATACGATATTTCTTTATTCAAGACCATTAAATTTTCGTATTTTTAAAGTTTGGCAGTCGAGATTGGAGAAATGTCGTATTGTACCAGATTTGGTGGAAGATTATGTTTCTATAATAATTTTGAAGTATCTACAGGCAAACATTATCGTTCTATTCCAATGATCAGTAAACATATCTGTCTTTCTATGTAACATCATCAGGCATGGTCGCCTTTTGCCATGACGTCACAATGAAAAATTTAAAAAAGCAAGAAAATTAACGTCATATTTGCATTTTTACCATTATAGAACGGGGATCAAACGAAATCCACGTCTACTAAATATTAAACAAATTCAACAGGTTCGGAAAAGGACAAATCGGCTAGGAATTAAAGAAAGTAGAATACATAATCTTGAATTGATATAATCAATAACAGAGATATCTGAATAAAGAAGTTATTTTGTTAATCCTGTTATCTTTTCCTTTCTTTTCATACGCATATTTATTCACATGGTTGTTTTGTAATCGACAGAATGCTTGGATGGATTTAAGTCAGATGAAGGTGAACCATGTCATCCATGTTTAGATGGAAACTATGGTCGCAAATGCGGAGAAGTTTGTAGATGTAAGGAGTACCAGATGTAAGTGTTATAACTGGTACAACATTATAAATTAGTTTAGAAAACGTTACCTTATTTTTCATTATACATGTTTCACGATATTTGTTTAGAAAAGGATTGATTTTCTTAGAAGTGTATTTATGGAGCTACCTTAATATTTATTTAAATTCATTTTTGAAGGGCATCGTACCTTATCTATGGGTTGGAAAAGGCATTCTCTAAGCTGTTTAAACATTATGGTATGGCTGTGTTACCATACGGCATAAGTAAAAATTATAATTTTAACGAGTTCGATGGGTGTCAAATTAACTAAACTAATTGAGATCAAGCTTGTCCTTAGGTCATTTAAAGGATATTTTGTAGAAAGCAAATTACAAAACCATATTGCCAAAACTGATTTCTGTTTTAAGTTTTGAATTTGGTTTACAGTTGTGATCATATAAAAGGTTGTTTGAATAGCTCTGTAAGTGTGACAGTATTATCAAACAATTCAACATACACTGAAACTGGAACTGTACCTGGAACTGAAACTGAGACTGAAAGTATGGAAAGTATGTATGATTACACACAAAAAAAATGATATTATTCGGGTATTTGCATATAGTTTATTTGCTGCATAAAGATGTGTTTCTAAGACCGGTATTTTAGTACCAAACTGAAAACGTGATATGAATGATTGTTACCACAATTACGGAAATTTCGTTAGCCTGTTCTGAAATGTGATACTAATTTAGTACTTCCCCATTGATTATTTGTTAGGTAATTGATAACTGGGAAATGCAACGACACACTACTCTCCCTTAATGGCAACGGAGATTGTGATTTCTTCAATATTATACAAATTCTCAGACATACATCTTAAAAATCGAATCTTTGTTAAATGTTATTAACTTTTGAAGAAGACATTAAGACTTAAAGTATCTGATGACTTTTTGATGAAGTTTGATGGAGTTTGAAGCTAGAAGTGTATCCATTATGTCAAACTGTGATGTTGCAAAAAGGCGAAAACGAACATTGGCGGATTGATTTTATATGATCTCATTTACACTGAAATAATCACTCAAATGGAATGATTTCTTTTCCTTTTGCATGAGAAATGAAATGACTGAAAAGACGGTCAATGTGAAAAAAAATTTTTTTTTATTGTACTTAATAGAGCATTTCTGTAATTTATCAGCCTTTCAGCGTTAGTGTTAGTGTTTAAATTTTCAATTTTTTTGGCAACGCGTATCACCCAAGAAACTTTAATTGTCAAATTGGTATCTGGTATAATAACAAAATAACCGGAAATGATATTACTTCCACTGGGTTGATACCTCTGCTTGTGCACAAAATGTTTTACTAGTCAAGTAGCCAGTTTTGCTGTACTGCCATTAAATCGTTAAAATACGCATAGTATTTCATTCAAAATTGCTATTATAAAATTAAAGAAATTATTTCAAAAATCACGGACTGCATCTCCCTCATCCATAGTTCTGATTCAATGTCTGGTTTTTCTTTACTTTTAGTTATATCTGGTTCTATAAGCCCTTAAACGTTTGAATACGGTTTAAGATATTAGGTTATACTAGCTTTGAGCACCACTGAAAAAAAAACGTTACTCGTCGAAATGTGTAACACGATCAGATATATGTGCATTCGTATCTTTTATTTACAAACGATCGTTTTTGTAGGAATTTTCAATACAGAGATGATGATAGTAATAATAATTTGCACAGGCATTATTACGCTTGCTATATTGATATGTATGGTATGGTTCCGATATCACGTGAAGAAAAAACGTGAATCAAATGCTTCTCACCTCGTTGGAAAAGAAAAGGAAGACGTTTTCCTTTCCAATGGTATTCATGATTATATAGAGGAATCTGAAATTCGCGAAATGAAGATCAAAACCACACCTCCACATGCTGTAAACGAAAAACGAAAATCAAATGAATCATTCAACAGTAATGACATCAATGTGCTGCTAGAGGACGAATACTTGAATCCATATCAACCAATTGTGCCTGTACAAGATATTCACGGGTATTGTGGAAAGGAGATTGTACAGGGAATTCTGTCGGACGGGAACCTTGATGATAATGTCAATGTTGAAGAAACAGATACAGCAGATAAACATCCTATCCAAGACTACATTCCAAAGGACCAGGAACCCCGAGATTAAATTACCAAACCCTTTTTGTATGATGGTAGTAATCCATGCTCTTTATAATCATAACTATTTACCCAAATACTATCGAATAAACAGGTATGCTTGGAAATGACACATCGTACACTTAAGAGCCAGTCCGCCAGAAAACCATGCAATATTCAGAAAATCGTCCAAATCGACAATCACAACTTGACAAATTTCTATACATCATCTTAATCCTTGACATAAAATAAAAGAATTTGACCACTTAATTTTTCCCAGAATCGTATCTATTTTTAGTAACAGCCTCATTTGCATAATTCTGTAAATTCATAATGAAACCAAGGAAAAATCCAACTTTTTTATGCCTTTTAAGAATGACCCAGAAGCATATTAAATGGGGTAGTTGAGTTTTTAGAGTAATGTCAGCTGAAACTCATCCATTTTACTATGTTATGATCAATACAAATGGAAATTTAAACGATTTGGCACATTGCCAGGAGCAGGGACACAAAGGCGGGGTTTTTCATACATGAATTTACGTGGTTTTCATTCGCTTCTATCTTGCAAGACCCATTCCGGATTTGTTTGCAACTTATATCGGTTTTAACTATGGGGTATGTTTTATATCAAAACAAAATATTAAGCTTGGCAAATGACTATTATATGTTAATTTATGCCTTGGAAGAATGGTGATTTTAGTCCCAAATTGACACATTTTGATTTTGATTTTAATTAAATTCTAAACACAATTGGTACTAAAATGGCTCATAAAATCATTCGAACATGTAAAATCAATTTGTCTGGAAAATGAAATCAGACGTATTTGTACTGCAAGTCCAAAAATCAATAAATTGTCTGAAACCAGGGAGTCCATCGTTTATGCTCTTCCATTGACTTATCTCCCTTGGGTAAGATCTCAAACATGTCAGCTCCCAGTGATGGTTTGGCAGACAAATGTTTACAGTGAAGTTTGTGACGTGAATAATATAGGATGAGCATGTGGGCTATCCCAGCCTTATACATCTACATATTACAAACTATTTAAGATATCTGAATGCACTAAAGACCAAAATAGCATTTCCAAAAAAAATAATTACTGCCAAGAAATTTGACAATCATGACAATAATTTAGTGAATAAACATGAAAAATATTGATTGGAAAAATAAGTCCATGAACAGCAAAAAGTGTTTTTAGATTTCAACGAGCAAAACAAGTATTCTAAATCATTCTTCGTAAAAAAAAAGTGAGCGAGTGGAACCACCTTGCTCGCACCAAAATTGAGATTGAGAGTGTCAAAACTGCTCTGGCGCACCATCAATAAATCAACAACACTCTCTCTACCGTGGTATTGAAACCAGCATTGGTAACCAAACATATTCATACAGATACAGACTACCATTCATCTACATTTAGGAAGTCTGAATAATACTGAAAACTATGGTGTAGAATTTCCAACAGGACTCCTTATTTTATATAAGACAAGGAGTGGTTTATTTTCCCATGGTTGTTACATCATCTTGTCTTTGAATATGCTCGAAGTACAGGGACTTTTATGGAATTCATTGACATGATAGTCAAGCAAGATGTCAACATTTCGTCCAACCCTCTTCCAGCAAAGCCAAAGCTGACCAAGGATCTTCACCCTTTCAAAACAGGCTGTATACAGGACGAGTTATTCCAGTAGGAACAGGTACAAATCTTACAATCAATTTTCATTTGTTCCATATAGTCAATCTGAAATTAGGGGACCAACAATTGATACATTAGCTAGATTAAAAAAAGTGGGGGGGGGGGGGGGGGGGGGGTGTTAAAGGAGCATGTGAATATTCTTTTACAACTAAGACATCTTATTTATTTCCTATGGCAAAGTGCAAGCAATTAATATATATCCGTATATACATTGTTCTGTCTTGGGACCATTTGATTAAAAAAGCAAGGAGGAGGGTTAGAATGGTCAAAATATTTATGTCCTTGTCAGCTTAGGACAGAATTTTAATTTTCAAGCTATTAACCAGGGTACAAAATATTTATTTTCTGCTTTAAAAAATCAATTTATAGACCAGAATCATGATAATAATCAAAATCTATTTCAACATATTCAACGTTTAGCAGGTCAGGTTTTTATTCTCTTCCCCTAAGTTATATTTTCAGTTCTTACTGGAAGTTGTTCAGCTCTTTGTCTACTAAAAAAACTTTTATCTCATGGAAAAGCCTCCTACAAATACATGTTTTACATACAACAAACTGTACATGTAACACTAGACAACTTTATCCAGAGAATAATATTTTTTTAATGAACTAATAGGCCATGGAGACTAAAAAAATCAAAAGCATTGCAAACTTTTGTAAAGTTCAATTTTAGGACCCTACATGTACATGTATGTAGATTACTTATAGAGCCCTATTTAAAAGAAAAAACATACATTTAAACTACATGCACAGTGATGCTACACTACCCTAAATTTCCTGTCTGATATATTTTATTTCATGTAAAACAAAATTGAAGAATTATTTTATAGTTTGACACTTTTTATTTGTAGGGCTATATATATGCAAGCAATGCTCAATTAAGATGAATTTTTGTAAAAGTGACAATAGCCAGGTCAAACTAAATACATGTATAGAAGAAGATATTGGTAAGTTATTATTAACTTATATATTAATTTTTCTGTTTGTATAACATGGTAATCATACAAAGTATATGTAATCACTTATATGATAACATAATTATACAATTACATGTTATACATTTGTACATCAGTATAATTAAACAGGTCTTTGTTAACTTGGTTTTCCCATTGAAAAATCACTTTGCTAATTTTAATTTGTAATACTATATTGGGCGGCTCCTATAGTTTCCATTCAATAACTAACAATGACTAATGAACTGTTCATACATTCCATTTCAATTATTTTATTTATTAATACGTATTACTTTTACTGTTAAGTCTGTTTTTTGTGATATTCATTTTACGTGACTCTGTATTTATATATCCCGTCATACTTTGAATGACAAAATTATTTTATGTCTACCTGTGCGAATTTCAAACGCGCGATTTTACGCCAGTACTTAAAACCTTCCATCCTTTACGGGTGGATTTTACATAGATATATAAAATCGTATAATATAAGCAAAACGAGGATGTTAAATTTGATGTATGCCTTTTTGTGCTTCTTCGTTACATTTGTTTGTTTTTATAGTGATTAAGATGATAATACAATGTTGACTGCTGTACCCCTATTTTTGACAATTTTACCTATTGTGTCTGTTTGTTTTGTTCCCGCATCGTTGTCAATATACTGGAATTTGATGCGACTGTCATACAAGTGAGAGGTTTATTATCTAGCTATAAAACCAGGTTCAATCTACCATTTTCTACAGAAGAAAATGCCTGTACCAAGTCAGGAATATGACAGTTGTTGTCCATTCGTTTGATGTGTTTGAACTTTGATTTTGCCATTTGACTGGGGACTTTCCTTTTTGAATTTTCCTCGGAGTTCAGTATTTTTGTGATTTTACTTTTTCAAATATAAAAGGGGAGATTTTTATTGGTACTTTTGAAGATATTTCACTTGTTCGATTAATTGATTGGTTGTTGGTAATGCTAATGTCCAATGGCAAATAGTTCATGCATGTTTAGGACAAGAACAAATTAAAATAAATACATTATTTGGGTTCTTAATATGCTAAATCTAACAATGTATTTAAATAATTTAAGATGTTGCAATTGGGCCCCATTTTAAATTGGTTCACATTGATTTCAAAATGGTCCAAAAAATTTTTTTTCTTATTTCTACACAACTTGAATTCTTGAGGTTCTTTTGATAAACAAAATGCAAATGTTTTATATTTAGATTTTTAATTTTGGTCCGGTTTTCAAATTTGTCCACATTTTAAAGTCCAAAGGGTCCAAATTTTAACTTAGTTTAATTTTAACAAAACTTGAACTCTAATTACAATGAATTAGGGTTCTTTGAATGATAAATAGAAATAATCAAATATTCTGAGTATAAATATGTACTTAGATTTATGATTTTGGTCCCAGTTTTCAAGTTGGTTCAAATGGGGTCCATAATTTAACTGTGTTTGATTTCAACAATAATTTTAAAGATGCTGATTCAGCCTGAATCTAACCTGTATTTAGTTTTTGGTCCCTATTATGAAATTGGTTTACATTGAGGGTCCAAAGGGTCCAAAATTAAACTAAATTTTAAATCTTTATTTGATCTTGGGGTTCTCTGATATGCTGAATCTATTAAACTTTATCTTTATACCATATTTATTCTGTGTTAGAAACCTATTCTTTGTCAAATATTTAATCCCATTACAAATTTAGAGCTGTTATAGCTTGAATGTTCTGTCCAAACTTGCATTTTTTCTTCATCTTCCACAAAATTTGTGCTTTTCTGAGATAACTGGTGTTATCTTTTTAAATGAAACTTTAGTGAAAAGAAAAGCACAATATGTGGATGATAATTTGATGTCAAACATTTTCAAGATGGCCACCAAGGATGGCACAAATTTCAACACTGGTTAATTTAATGAAAATTGTTAATTAGGGATAGTCGTGTTAGTTTGACTTGCTAAACAAAGTAAGGTTGTTTTTTCTTCCAAAATGGCAAACATTTTGAAGATGGCCTTATATGAAAATTGACATTAAGGAATTATAGCACTTTTGACATGCCAACAAAACAATGAATTTTTATTTTAAAGATGGACACAGCAAATAAAGGGTAAAATTTTCAATTTTGTTGAGTTTGATTTTAAAGAATATTGATATTTAGCTGTACTTTGATACAGAGAACAGATATAAAGATGGCCACCATTTCATAGATTGTCACTAAAAGCGGTCAAATTATCACCATTGTCTGTTTTCAATGTAAAATTATATTGAGAGGTAATTTGACATGCCAAACCAAATGGAGGCAATTTTTATACGACCGCAAAAAAATTTTGTGGTCGTATATTGGTATGACGTTGGCGTCGTCGTCGTCCGGCGTCGTCGTCGTCCGAAGACACATTGGTTTTCGCACTCTAACTTTAGTTTAAGTGAATGGATCTTTTTGAAATTTGACCATAAGATTAAATACCACAAAAGGAAGGTTGGGATTGATTTTGGGGGTTATGGTACCAACAGTTAAGGAATT